TGGAATACCTTGTGATGGTTATTAGGGACAGTAGTCCTTTTCATCTCTGACTAACGATGAGACCACTAAGATTTGCGGACTACCTTCAGGTCAGCACGCAATTTTTCCCTGAGGCCTCGTATTCGTATACAGCCGGAATATTTCGGCTAGCATACAGAAGTTCCGGAGACTACGTAGAGACCCATTGCTCAAGCTGGTAGTCGAATCTGCCAAACCTTCTGCTAAGTAACTCTGGTGAACATGGGAATAGCGACCTTCAACTGTATTCTGTGAACACTTTACTTAGCTACGATGCTATCGTACTTTAATACGCAAAACGAGAGCGCATCGCATACCGCACTGTTCGTCACGCAGTCGAGAAACAGTCGCCACAATCGCTGCATGCAGTGAGGGATAAGTAAAAACACGTTACTGCTGGGGTTTTCCTTCCTCATTACCTGTCATCTCCTCAGTGCGAAAGCTACTGATCGTTATTGGGAAGACAGAGTGCACCATATTTTGATGGTGCAAAAGGAAAATAGCGGTTACAGCACGAAACAGGATATTGCTCAGCCACGACCCAGCGTATATCTGGTAAGCGTTGCTTTCTCTTCAACTGCCCATCAGTGGGGCACTGAATGCTTTCTCTAAACGTCGCATCTCAATGTGCCAATGCCAGAAATTGTCAATCTCTTTGCACCTACGTTGACAAGTACGAGATTACCATCGAGATAATAACTGACCAGCTAAAGTCTCTCTTACCAAGATGCCCCTATAACATCATATTTCAATTCAACAACGAACCCCACAGGCAAGCAGACGGAGTGGTTGTGGGATCTCCTCTCGGCGCAGTCTTAGCTGATGTCTAAATATGAATGCTAGAGGATGAACCAATAGAATCGGCATTTTCAGATTTCAGGTTCTACCGATGTAATATGGACGCAAATTCTAGGTAAGTGATCAGGCGAGTAACTTGAAGAATGTCGTCGAAGGTCTCGATAGGGTATATCAAATCACCGCATTCGCAAATGAGGTAGCAACAACCAGATTGATTTCTCGGATGCAAACCAAAATAGAAGAGGGAACAGATCGAGCCAGAGAGGACTATTTAGGAAACTATACTGGGCAGGGCAATAGATGCAATTCCAGAGCTCGGTGCCACTCAGCCGAGAAAGAATACGAGTACATACTCTAATAAGACCGTGCATACAGAATCTGTTGTGGGATCACTATAGTAGATGCACTGAGGAGAACCAAACAAACACTTCTCGAAAGCGGTTATCCAAAACCTTTCACTGGCACTCGTATGAAGCCAAGCAGCCTGAGATCCGCAGTGAGAACGGTCGAGAGCAAACATGGATTTTTTAATGCTTTCCTTTAAGGGTGGTAAAGCGAGTCAAATTCGTACATAAATAGAAAGAGGTTGCGTTGAGGTTGCGTGTAATCCAAACTTAACCCTCCAAATAGTCATCTACCGTTGTGACAAAAAGCATTGCCCATCGTGACCCGGTAGCCAAAGGGGTAGTAGTGTCGGCTGCTATTCCAGTGGTCGTGGGTTCAAATCCTGCTGTCTCCACCTGATGAGATGAAATTACATCGAAACGCGTCGTGGCTGTGCAGTATTTTCGGGTGGGCAATACCCAATTTCCAACTAATTAGAAAGAGCTTTGATACAGCTCAAACTAGCGCGGTTTAAGGAGCAAATCGCGAATCGTTCCTAGAGTTAGAGATAAGATGCCTGATTAAATCCAACAATGGCTATCTCCAGGCCCACTTGCTCCTGTGGGATAGGTAGGTTGGACGCACGATCAGACACATAGCAAGGAGAGAGAAGGAACATCCACTGAATTGGTTCACCAACGAGCAGAAAGGAGTTAATTTCAGCGCTGTAACTAACCGTCTGGTCGACACTGGACATCAAGTTGGCAAACAATAAAACCTTCGAAATCCTATATACAGTGCCAACGCGACAAAACCACCCGACAAAAGCTTGCTGCCGCTGAGTCAGTATATACTAGATTGGCGAGACCGAATCTATGCATCTAGAAGGATGTTGTCCATGTAATACAACTACTGTGGCCAGCTGCCAACCGAGAGGAATCGGATCTCACCAAACTGCACTATGTGCTTAAAACCAGATTCTCATCTGACGCATGTTATGATAAATGTGTGGTTTCGCCTTGTCAAAGGCTAATCCCTGTACTCTCGAATGAACTTGGTTCGTCTTAACGTATATTTCTGTAATAGAACTGACAACGAATAAGTCGAGAATAAGTGTTTGTTTTAATCGTACTGCTTGAGTCGGATTCGAAATGAGCGTCGTTCTCACCTGCACACCCATTGTCATGGCAAGAATGAACCTCAACGTGGTGCGACGGTTTGTGTAGCTCTTTGACCCACTGAGTCATACTGAGGGGATCACCCGGAACCCTTCAAAGCTACTCTTAGCAGGTTAGTGAATGTGTAGAAGTCAGACAAACTAATTCTCCTAGTTCTCCAGGTTGAGGATTTGCAATGGGATGACGTCCAGTGCTTTGAAATCGAGTTCTTTCAATCTTCCTGTTGCTTTGCGGACAGGCTTTGACTGAGAACTCTAATGGTTCTACTATCTAGGTTTGGGCGTCTTAACAGTGTCCTGACCCGCTCACAACCATGAAAAGAATGAATCCGTCATCAGCTTCGAGATACATCCTGAATCAGTCATCGTGTAGGTTCAATAGGGTCGCTTCTGCTGCATACGTCAGGGCAGATAAGCGAAAAGATGCAACTGCTGATGCCTCCTACATTTTCCTTGTTTCCTTTAACCCCCTCTCTACCATCACTTCTAACGTCCCTTCCACAATCCCCAAGATGATTGTTGACAGTTGCAGCGCTATCTGTAACTGCATTCCGGTAGCATACTTAGACTCATGCCATAAGCAATCCCTTATCAGATCTGGCTGTCCAGTCTCGCTGACAGCATCTAACGTTCGCACCCTTAGACAAGTCAGCAGGCGACACCCGAACTCGATGTGTGTTGCAAGTCTGAAACTAGGAACAACGAACCTCATGCAATTATCGAACCATATGCACCCCGCCTGTCCTCTGATTCTTGGACGCACGAATCTGGGGATGCTGATGCAGCAAAAATAGATCAACCTGGGGTGGAGTATTGTTCTCAGCTCCAAGGCTGAGTCACTGTTGGTTGATTGGGTTCCCATGAGCAGCCAGTCTGATAACATCAACCAAAATTAGCTAGACAATGTCTATTTATCATGGCCGCTTATGCCCCCAACGACTACAACCCTGAAACAAGAACGATTCACACCACGAACTTAACATGTTGCTTCGCAAAGTAACCAGTGCAGATACCCTCTTACTTTCCGAGAGTACAAATGGGCAAATTAGGTCATCTGAGCTCAATAGGTTAGCTAGGCGATAAGTTGGGGCTCTACTCTGAAGACCTGGACAGTGGCGAGCGTTTGCTGTAGTTGTGCGCTGAATATCAACTGTACCATAATAGCAAGGCCAACAGGCACAGTGAGTGCCCATTTGCCACCTCGTGTCCCCCGATAGTGCACCAGCGATGGATACGGATAGATCATTCCGCCATAATTTTCCGATGGCGCGATTCCATCTTGGACTGTCGCCCTTTCTGAAATACCTGCGGCGATTCATATCATGTGCAGTTTTAGTGCCGATTTTCCACGGGTTTGGCCAGACGTTTCCTTCGACCGGTGACTGAAGGGTTATTTCAGGCCTCAGTCAAAGATGCCCTGCATACTAGGCATTTACCTACTTACTCCAAAGATATCGAGTTTCAGGGGAAAAGACTCGGTCGACATGCACCACACGGGAGCTTCTCTGCTTACGGCACTATCAGTAGTCAGTACGCCGAGCACGGGGTATTCGAAAGGATTGTCAACCTGTTGGGATCTAGGTCAGATCAGGTCAGGATCCAGTGAAGAAACAGGTTTTTGCCAACACAGGCGTCCCGGTTCCTGTGTTGGTAAGCAATAGAGGGTCCCCGGCACTTCGACGTCCATATTTCTTCGCTTCTGCAGAGAAAAAAGAGTAAGAGCAATCTCTCATGAATTAATGAAACTATCCAGGATGTTCTCTCGACCACGGCCTATTTGTTACTGGTCGGTACGCAGTAATCCCACTGCAAGTCCGGAAACAAAGTGGACTAATTCATATCTGGGCTTCTTTTAAAGGCTTCTATCGTGTTACATTCCACTAGTGCATGGGAACTAAATTCCAATTACGTACCACGCGAGTGGTGAAAAATTCAGCTCGTACACCCAATCTGGATAACTGTTTCATGAGCTTCAGATAGTGCACCCGTAGATGGTCCGAGGTAGCTCGTTATAAGAGATCGATAGCTTTAATGCCACTGAGACCTTTCATTATCATAAATGTAACTATCAGATCTCCCCTTAGCCTGTGACGTTCCAATGACAACAAGCCTAAACAAGCCAGTCGGTAGGTCTAGAAGAAAAACCCCTGCTGGTTTCGAGCACAACGTGACTAGATGGATCATTATGCGTCAGGTGAAATGGAGTCGGCATGCTGACAATGAAGCTTAGTGGACCGAAACGGCTGAGGAAATGGAGGAGGCCGGATCAACGGGAAGGTACCACAGATTCATGCAAATGATCCGCACTAATGGTCCCAAGAAGACATGCGTCCGTGAAACAATCAAGAACCGCATGGGTGCACAAATTCACAATAAGGAAAGCCGTCTGTCTCACTGAGTGAAACAGTCTCGAGAGCAGTTTGTTGGATCCCAGCTTCCGGGACTTATCCTAGTCAGGTGGTGCAGGCTGAGACAAGACCGATTAGTTTAGAGGGTAAGGTCCGAAACAGAATCACAGCCGTCAATTGTTCTCTAACTGCTGGCCCGGCTTCCACTGTACCTGCGCCATCTAAGGATAGAAATGAGGACCCTTGCAAAGCATTGGACCATGGAAGGTAAATGTGGTTAACCACACATCGAATTATCAACAACAAGGCAAACTAGAAACGTTGGAGAGACCTACCTTGCAGGCGGCGGCACGTACGGATAAAACGCGATCGGTCATGCAGGACTTTGCGGCCTTGTAAATGTCTTTATTGCAAACTGATGCGGCAGAGCCGACAGCTTCCAAAAGAGAGCACAGCGTAAGCATAGTTTCGCACCTGACTTGGGACTCAGACTGAATATTAAAGGGAAAACAAAAGTCATGTAATGCATCGCGCAGTAAAGCGTGAACTGGGCGATCTGAATTTGAAGAAAATGAGAGGCTTGTTAAAGATCTGTGAAAAGTTTGCACAAAGGCGGATAATGTGAATGAAATGGTAATTTGATCATCCAATTTCTGTGTTCGTTAGAAGTGAATCACTGATAGATTAATGACCGTCGTCGTCCTGGTTCTAACGACCAAGAGAGATTTGGACGCCTCTGGAGACAGCCGCAAGACTTACTGTAATGACAAAAATACTACTGCGCTTGAACGATATGTGAATGCTGTACAAATGAACTGTGAGAGGAGTAGCGGGTGCCCGGATAAGAAAAGAGGTGTAAAAGTAGTAGCATGTGTGATGACAGCGTAAGAACTAAGACGACCGGCCACTGTGAAAGGTGACCACTCGTACAGCAATCACGTGCGCATCTGAGCTGCATCAGTTTATATGTGTGTGGTCGCCGTCAGGTGAATGGAACGCGCACGCCGTGTGCCAACCTGTTGTGGATGAGTTAAAAAAATACCGTATTGAATACTGTATCATGGGAGTAGGTAGAAATTTGTTTATGTACAACCCACTTCTTTCGTTTCCACCTTTTTCTCTTACCCCCATCCCGGCCCCCATTACTAACCCTCCTTCTATAATTCCCAGCTTAATTGACAGCAACCGAAATGCTACTGGAGTAGTACCATCTGCAGCCACCATCCCACAGCACCTATCGGACGCCTATCGGCAAAAGTCCCTTATAAGGCCACGCTGTCCCGTTTCCATGGCGACATGCAACGTCCGCACTCTAAGACAAACAGGTCAGCAGGATGCACTCGCACGCACCTTGGACACACTGGGTGTTGATGTGTGTTGTGTGTCCGAAACTAGGATCAATGACCCTAACGGGGTTATTGAATTGACTGCACCCGGCTTATCCTCTCGTTATTGGTTGCACGCATCCGGAGACGCCGATGCGGCACTCACTGGTCAAGCTGGTGTAGGTAGCATTCTCAGCTCCAAGGCTGTCATCGTTGGTTGATTGGATTCCGGTGAAAAGCCGTTTATGTGCAGCCCGTTTGACGACATCAGCTAAGGTGAATTCGTGAAGTAAAACAAAACGCTGTTTGTTTGTGATTTCCGTTTATGCTCCCACCGACTGCAGTTCTAGTGCAGTCAAGGACACTTTCTATGACGAACTGAACGCGCTACTACGCAGTGCTACTAGTTCAGATATTATGGTACTTGCAGGGGATATGAACGCACAAGTAGGGCGTCTGAGCTCTTCAGAAGCTCAGCTGGGTGGTAAGTATGGACTTAACTCTGAACGGACTGACAACGGCGAGCGTCTGCTGCAACTGTGTGCGGAGCACCAGTTGTTTCTTAGTAGCACTGCTTTTAGACAGAGTAGGCGCCGAAGTGTCACTTGGCGTCCTCCTGTAGCTGGCCAGCGATTGACCTAGGTTAACCACATAGACATAAGGTACAGATAGCGTGGTTCCATCCTGGATTGCCGCTGGTACTGGAGTACCTGTGTCGACTCTGATCATGCCTTGGTGCGCTGTCGTTTCTCCATGAACTTTACCGGAAGGCGCACAAAGCGTCTCCCCCGATTGACAACGGAGAAATTGTCCCAGCCCTCGGTCAGGCAAGCCTATCAAGACGCACCGCGTATCGGACTCTCGCTGTCTTGTCCTAATGACACTGAACTTCAGTGGAATAGGATCTCGGCTGCTATGCACGACGCAGGAGCATCTGTTTGTGGCACTCTCAGTCGTCACCGCACCAGTCACTGGATATCCGAGAGGTCGGTGAACCTGTTGGAAGCTAGAAGACACCTCCCGGGTGATTCTGAACACAATGTGACCAGACGGGCTATTAGGCGTGAACTAAAGCGGAGCCTACGTGCTGACAAGGAAGCCTGGTGGACCAGTAGGGCTCAAGAAATGGAGGAGGCAGGAGCAGTAGGCAATCACCGGAAGCTCTTCCAGCTAATACGCACCACTGGTCCCAGAAAAACAGGCGTCAGTGAGACAATCAGAGACAGCGCGGGTGCGCTGATACACAATAAGGAGCGCCCTATGGCTCGTTGGGCTGAACACTTTGAAGATCAGTTTAGCTGGCCCTTGCTCCCGGACCTCTTCCTACTCAGGTGATGCAGGATGAGCCATGGACTGTTAGTTTAGAGCCTCCGTCAGAGGCCGAGGTGCGAAACGCGATCACAGCCCTCAATCGCTCCCGTGCCGCTGGCCCGGATTCCCTCCCACCTGCACTATTTAAGGATGGAGGTGAGGTCCTCTGCAAAGCATGGATCTCCCTATTTGAACGTATCTGGAACGAAGAGAGTGTGCCGGCTAATTGGAGCGAATCGATTATAGTGGCAATATACAAAAAGGGCAGTCGCACAGACTGTGCGAACCACAGGGGTATTAGCCTAACGCCAGTTGTGACAAAATTACTGGCCTCGATTCTCGTTCGTCGCCTCACTGCAGAACGGGAATCTCGGATTAGGGAAGAGCAGGCCGGTTTTCGTCCAGGACGTGGCTGTATAGACCATATATTTACTTTGCAGCAGGTGCTAGAGCAGCGCCACGCATACCGCAGACCAACAATAGCTGTGTTCCTCGATTTCAAGAGTGCGTTTGATTCAGTCGATCGATCGATTCTGTTCGAAATACTTGCGCAGAAAAGTGTTCCCACGAAATATGTGAACATCCTTCGTGCTCTATACTCGAACACTACAGGCCGCGTCAGGGTCTACGGTGTCCTATCGGATAGCTTTCCGATCACAAGTGGCGTTCGTCAGGGTTGTCCGATTTCCCCGTCTTTGTTCAATTTCGTCGTGGACTCTATCATGGAGCGTTCCCTTGCGGAATCTCACGATGTAGGCGTCGAAGTGCTGCCTGGTGAAAGATTAGTTGATCCAGATTATGCGGACGACATCGTCTTGCTTTTCGACAATGTTGAGGCGGCACAATCAACCCTGAATAGCCTATCCAGAGTGGTCCCATTATTTGGTATGCACTTCGCACCTTCAAAGTGCAAAGTGTTGCTGTAGGACCACCAGCAACTTGATGACCCCTTGACGCTTACTAACGAGGAACTCGAGGTGGTTGATCAATTCACTTCTCTTGGCAACTGCATCAGCAACGATGGGCGCATAGAAACTGACATGAGCTCACGCATTGCAAAGGCCAGAGCTGCCTTCTTGAACGTGCGTCATCTTTGGCGACAGAAGGGAGTTTCCCTCCGCTTAAAAGGCCGTGTATCCAAGGCCACAGTGAGGGCCGTCCTGCTCTATGGTAATGAAACTTGGCCACTTCGGTCTGAAGATCTGAGGCGCCTACAAGTCTTTGATCATCGTTGTTTGCGAAGCATTGCTGGCACCAACATGTCCGCAACCATGATGTGAGTAGGCGAGTACTAGGTGGTGATAATCATGCTAGCTCCCTAGAACAACAGATAGCACTGAATAAGTTGCGTTGGCTCGGGTACGTGCTACGCATGCCTGGTCACCGCTTACCTAGGAGGGCCTTGTTCAGCCTACCAGGTGTAGGATGGCGCAAGGCTCGAGGTGGACAGACGTTGACTTGGCAGCGGGAAATGGAGTCACTGACGACCAAACTGGGTGCCGTTGGTCCGTCTCGCCTTCCGGGTTGGAGTCCACGTGACTCACCTTGTGCTTGGCTCGAAACTTTACAGGACATGGCCCGCAACCGACACCAGTGGCGCGTCTGCTGCCGTCTCCTAATCGGATTGTCTGTTTAAAGTGTGTTTGGTGCTGAGTTATCTGCGGGGTAATGGCTGATTATGACGCGTGGCAGTGAAAGCCGCAAGGAAGCTGTCTCGCCGATGCCGCCTTATCTTTGCACGATAGCCAGCTGTTTGTGACGGTATGTTGTCTACACAAGGTGTAGGCGCCTTGACCCTGAATGTTTGCTTAGGACATTAAGGTTTTCAGGTAAGTCCCCCTTCTCTCCTTCTTCTTACTCTTTATTTCATAGTTCCTCATGGTTGTATGGCAGCGAAGCATCAGTTCAAATGGCTGATGTACTGCTGTTGTTGATGATGAGGATGCCAAGGAAATATAGACAAAAACGTTAAAAAAGCAAAATATGAATTAACTGAGGCCTTGTCGCAGCCAGTCCCAAAGCAGATGGTCGTCTACATGTCCGGAAAATGCCATGTCGTTCATAGCTACCGTCAATGGACGTCGGGTTTTTCGGGCCCAACTCTGTCCTCTGCAACGTTCGTAAATTGTATGGCAGTGGGGAATAAGACTATCTATATCGCAGTCTGCATGTAAATCATGTCGGCCCGACACTTCCCCCGTAGCGCGGTGGTTTAAGCTGCTGACTGGCGGTGCAAGCCACTGGTGGTCAAGGGTTCAAATCCTGAAAGACCCAATGGATGCGCACTAGTGACAATACCCAACAGGTGGAAACTGCAGTCTAATGCTTTTCCGGGCATGTGGACGAGGATTTGATTTGGAACCGCCTGCGACGAACCTTTAACTAATTATAACAAAATCCCCTATTCATGAGTATATCTATGAATTGCCCATACGCTGATCGTTTTTCACGTTCTCACGTCATATCGTAAAATGCGTGTAAATTGGGACTCACAAATGTGAGATGTTAGTGAATAATCGTTTTCCGAATAAAACTTTTGAGAAACGCAAATACAACAATCGTTTAAACTGTTGCACTGAGTTTGCTTTTCCTATATGCGTCAGCAAACTGTTCCAGACATTTACCACTCGTCGTTCAAAGCACGGGGAATGGGGAACTCGCTTTAGATCTGGAAACACAAGCTGGTACTGTTGTCCGCGCGTGCAGCAAGGTGTCCGCAACTGGAGCAGAATGAAGTAGTCACGTATCTATAGAATGTGGCAGGTCATGATGGGGTTGACTCGCAACCCACGATAGGCCAGGATGTATAGTCCCAGCTTCACCTACCTGTCTTCGTACGGTAAGCCCCGCAAACT